CTCTACTAATCCACTCCAGATACCTGTCTTTCCAGCTGATTTGAACTCCTTAGCTCCCCCAACACAGCCCTGGGCCTTTGCTTCCCCCACCAGGGATGTCCTTCCATCCATTTTCGTGTTTCAAATATAATTCATCCTTTAAACCTCAGCTCAAGTGCCACCTCCTCCTTGTCAGTGTTTTTTTTAACTCTTCTCATCAGGAAATAATCTTTCCTGCATTTTTCTCCCTTGGCAATTTGTCTTTTTGTTTAGGGCACTTCTCACTTTCCACCTTACAGATATCTCTGTGTCAGTCTTGCTTCTCCTACTGCCCTGTGAGCTAATTCACTTCTCTAAGTGCTCAGTAAACACTCTAGGTAACCAACCCCTGTTTCTTTAATTCACTTGTAGTGTAAATGAAATGCAAATGAAGCTGCAAACCTTCATTTCTCTGTACCCAGACTCCTGATTTGTGTGAAATCTTCAGAGGATCTTGGGGTCAATGTGCGCTGATCTGTAGGGTCTTGCTACAAAGGAATCCTTCGGAATCAACGAAACCCCAGAATTTCAACAACGTATCAGCTGTTCACACACGGACAGGCCATTTGGCAGGACGATTCTCCTGAAAGAATGTCTACTTCCAGAAGAATTGTCTCTGATAAGACAGACAATATTCTACATTTATGAAGGCACGTGTAGTCTGGATAGCTTGGGAACCCCTCTTCCCTATGGTTGAGGGGATGTCAGTTGGCCATACTGCCAATTTAAAGGGCAGGGATGTGGCCTTGGAGGGTCTCTGACTGATGTGTTTTCAATATTCTTCTCCAGGACAGGACAGAGTGACATTCCTTGGTCAGATTACAAGCCCCGAGCCATGAGATTGAGCCACTGGGAGATTCTTTGATCTTTGTACTTTTAGAATGTTTCACCAATATCCTAGATTCTATGTAGAATCAAGCTAATTTGGAGATTCACTGAATCCATTGGTTCTAAACATGGCATAGGACCCAAGGGATATGCTTGGATTCAAGGTAAGAAGTGTAGCCTGAGCTCCCAAAGAAGCTGTCAGAAGACCAACCTCTCTGAATTAGGGCAAAAGCAGCCCTTGCAGGCTGACTCCTGCCTTTATAACACACCTGGTTGTTATGGTGATAGGAGGTAAGTGAAGCTGAGAGAGGATGGAGAAATGTTACTGTGGGAAAAGGGGCTTCTGTGCCTTATATAAGTCATGTTCCAAACATACACTTTTGAACAAGAAGTGAGCAGTCTACACCCCAGCTCCCAGCACGGCATGGCATCACGATATCAAGAAAAATCCCTTCAGATTCCTTCAGGCCTGTCTCTGGCTTCATTTGTGTTACTCTAGGATCCTAAAGAGTTATGATTCCTGAGGAAGGAATTCAGTTACCAGAAACATGTACATTCAGGAAAAGGAGAAAAATCCTGGTAAAATGGCTACCCCAGGGTATACTGACCTTCCAAAATTTAATAATTTTATGGAATGATCGCCTTGTTTCTAAAATAATCAGGGAATGCAATTTATTCACTTCTACTTTGGATAGAAGTTTTAAAAAGAAAGACTTAGACTGCCCAAATACCTTGGAAAAGGGGGAATTTTCTGTTGATTTTCCTGATCGTATGACAGTCATAGAGCCCCAGCCTATTAGCCTCCTCCTTCCCATGTCCCAACGCCTCCAAAGAACGCTTGTATGAAAATGCACAAAGTCACTCGATAATACAAAATGTTATCAGAGTTCAAAATAGTTCTCATATGACAGCTCTTTTCTTCCCTCAGGGACCAAAGGCATTTTCTCCTAACCCAAGAGATAAATAGGACTGGGCCAGTGACATCTTGCTACCTGGAAACGGAACTTTCCATGGGCCACCAGCTCCGGCGTCCATTCTAGTGCACAGCGATCTAGCAGCTTCAGTTTGGGGATATGTCCTTGATTTTAAACTCAAAATTCTACTTTAAGTATACCAGGAAAGAGAATGGTAACTAAGCTTTACTTTTTGTTCGTTTTTTCGTGTCCTAGTAGACAATTTTATTGTTGAGTAGTAAGCTAAGTATTACTCAAGTGCCTACTGTATATTAAAAGTTTTTCACGTTGTTTCACTTAAACCTCGTTATCCCCATTTAACGGAAAAGGATACTGAGGCTCAAAACGGCTCTGCAGTGTCCCCAAGTTCAGGATTTGAATCTCAGTCTCTTCAGCTCAAGAGAAAGTTCTTTCAGCTATACCACGATGGGTGTCAGCAGAGGTGCCAGCTTCTCTCCCCGTAGAAGGCATGAGGACTGCTCTCAGTCCCACCACGAAACCGACCCCAGCCTGCAAGACCCCCAGGTGTGTGAATGTGTGTGACACATGGACACATGGGTCTGGTGCCCTTCTAATGCCCCCGCGCCTTCCCAGAGCAGCTTAGAGACATCGGGACATTATCCGCCTTTTTCTTCAGTCTGTGCAGGGAAAGTAAAGACCCACTTCAACAGTCTCACTGACAAACCGTACTCAGGAAGGAACTGCTGAGGGACACTTCACACCCGCTTTTGCCAAAGAGTTGAAGGGAAAGGCTAGGATACTATTTGTTTTAAAAGGTTTCGGTCACATCCTATGCAAACACAAAAAAACCGGCTTCTAAAGGTAACTTTCAGCCTAGAAGTCTGTGTGATAACACTTTCTGCAATTGGCGTGGCATGGTCTCAGATTCGGACACGTATGATTCCGCACTGCTACACTGTGCATTTTCCGTGGGCATAATGTGGTGCTTTTTCGAGTTATTCTGAAACATTTCTACACAAAGGAGTGAGAATGATTTCAGCCTTTTTGTCTGCATGGTAAAGTCATGAAAACGATAATAATAGCTTACATATAACTGCACTTTACAGATTACGAAGTGCTTTCATGGACGCTCATTGCTGGGGTTTTTTTTTAAAGGTGAAGTCAAGGGAAAATATCAGTAAATGACATTTAACTATTAACATACACTCTTATACTGTAGGTAAGAAAAGGGTGAAATGAAAGAGTTTTTATATTAGAAACAAAGTCAGGTTCTTGAAGTTCTAACTGTTCCTGGTTATCAATAAAAAAAAAAAGTCAATGCTTTTTAAATTAAAAATGAGATGCTGCTACTTACGACTTGATAAGCTGTAAAATGCCTTCCCCGTCCTTCCCAATGGTCCTGCGCCCCATTGCTATTAAATTTTATATCTGCAGCTCATATGGGTTATACAGAATGGCAGGTGTAGGTAAAGAAAAACAATTAGAATAAAAAAAAGAAAGCTAATTGTATTCTGATGCTATTTAATGTGAAAATACAGTGGTACCCTCACATCTCTTCATGGTTTTGGTGGTAGAGGTTAAGAAGGCTCAGGCCACACTTGGCCTTTGAACTTGCGGCCACCAAAGGAATCAGGATGCTATGTGTCAAGATCATCTTTAAAAATCTGTGCCACTGTGCCATCCTGGCATAGAAAGCCACCAACATCTCCCCACAGTGACATACAGTCCCTCAAGACTTAAATCCTACTGGTGAGATTAATAACCATTAGAGAGTAGATTTTCGAGGAATGAGTTTTATTGAAATTAATCTGATCAAACTGCAATTAATCCACTGCTTTTCCTTAGGGATGGCTAAAAAAAGTGGCTGCATGCGTGTACCAGAGGACACCTTACCCGGCTGCCTTGGTGTTTGAGCTGCTCTGAGGATTCAGCACACCTGACACACCACCACTCTGAAGTGCTAACTGGCGGAAGCCGCATCTGGCAGAATCGGCCCATTCAAACTACAGGTGAGTATTCTCAGCCGAGTCTTGCCAACGATGGCAATCTGTGCCTTACGCAGTGAAGAACACTCTGGAGGAGAACCCAGCCGAGCAGGCGCCATCCAGACCGACTCAGAAGATGACAAATACTCCTTCAGAGTGACATTTCCTGCAGGACCGTGATGCTCAACCTTGGCTGCACAGTAGAATCACCTAGGGAACCTAAAATCTTTCTGCGGCCAGGCCTCCGGCCCAAGCTAATTAAAACCAGCATCTTTAGAAGAGGGGCCCCTGCACTGGTACTTATGAAAGCTCTCCAGATGGTTCTAATGTGCAGCCAAGGGCAGAAGCACTACTGTAGGGTGATTCTAACAATATTTGGGCCGCAGTAGAGGAACCTGCAAAACACAACTTGCTTAGGGAAGTCAGCGTTCCCCAAAGTCTCGAACCATAGCTGACACGTGCTTTACTCATCTGGAAGCATTTGGGTCCATCTGATTTGTCACAGGTACGAGGAGTGCTATCTGAAATGCCTGTCTTTGATTTTTTCCCCCCAAAACAGGCACAATGATATTTAATCAACCCCTACTTTGTAAGAGCCAGGAATTGGTAAAAACTAAACAAACAAAACACCCAAGTGAAATGTCGTTCATTTCAGGGGTGATTCCTCCGAGGGAAAGGCAGGCCACGTACTCCTCCCACCATCTCAATTAAACATCCACTGCATGGGCGGGCTGTAGAGAAATGATAACTATTGTAAATATTATAGAACTGCCAGAAGTTCATTAAATTGGCTCTGCAGATTTTGAAACAAAAAGCTTATACTGCAAATATGTGAACATCACGAAGAAAATAAAAAGGGAGCGAGCTTTCCCACGTCGCAGTACCTGTGGCCTTCCTCTCCAGCATTTTATACTCTCTCCCTATGCTTGAGGATTTCAAAGAGAAGTGCTGTTGAACAATGGTGGGAGGGAGGAGATCCTATCACTGGGTTTTTCAAAGAGACTTTCCAGATTCAGGTAACAGTCAGCTAGAAATCCATTGGCTGAGCACCAAGTGTTAGATTTGTATTGTCTCCATCTTCTGATTTTGAGTCACTATATCTGAGGCGTGATTTTCCTATGTGACAAAATGACTTATTAGATGGTGTAACATGTGGATCTCACTCCAGTGTTAACGTGTTTCAAGAATTTAACTTACCTGCTTAAGGCATGGGAAGCAAGAGTTGATAGAAATAAATGATATAAAAAACACTTACTGCTTCTCTCTCTTCTTCTTAAGTGGGTCCATGAGGCGCAGTGTGTCTCTGATCACGGCCACTTTCACTTCCTCATCCACAAGGCTAGGGACATTTTCAAACACCCCCGGAGAAAGCTTGAATGGGTAAGGATTTCGTGTTACAACGGAGAGAGTGACAGTGCCGAGCGGCTCTCAGCATGCGATCCTCCCACTAGAGCCAGCGGTTGCACTGTTAGATTTGGCTTATGTTCATCTATAGGAGAGAATTGTTTAAGCCTCCCTTTATGATACCTTAAAAATGTCAATTTCCTTTTACAAATCACAAAATGCGTGAAGAGGAAAAAGAACACTGCTTTTCTGATCATCATGCTCATTGTAGAAAATTTGGAAATATAGAAGGGGGTTACGAAAATTAAAAGAATTCACATAATCCCCCCAAATTACATAAAATCCCCCCAAATATAGAAACATATATTAATATTTGGTGTATTTCTTTCCAGTCTTTTGTATGCATCTTTTAGGGGGGAGAAAAATATAACCACTGTTAAATGTACTATTTATCTTAGTGATTTAAGCATGTCAACATGGCTAAATCATAGTCATAGAATTTCAATTAGTTCATCTCCTAAGGCTAAGTAATTAGTTCATGTCAAAACTGTTGGAAAGGCTCAGCTGTTTCTACATTTGCAGACCTTAAAAATTGGAAGAATGGCATGCTGGGAAATTACCATAGGTCACATAGGTCTTATATTAATAGACTATGTTCAGAGCTCAACAAAATTGGAATTATTAAGACTTGAATAGAACTTTGCTGTGAAAATTTGGGAATGCTGAATCTTGTTCAGCTGAATGAACAACGTAAGAGTGGGAAAATCCAGCTGTATGGCAATATATTCAATGAGAAACTCAAAATACTTACTTCCTGCTCATGTTCGATTCTCATGCTGGGATTTGCATTTACTTCAAGTAGTACAGGCTTCAGATTTTTCATTAGAAGAATGTCAAAGCCTAAAATCTGGGCAAGATAAATACAATTCAGAATTACTCTCTCTAGCTATAATTTCTTTTCAGGAATTGAATGTGGCATTAGGATCATTAAGGTGAAAATAAATTCAAAGAAATTCGCCCCCCAACCTGGGCCTTGACCCTGACTTCTCTTGTCCACAGCCCCTCTCCCTCTGGGTGTACTTGTCAAGCCAAATGGACAGCAGAAAATTTTATAGAAACCTTGATAATCGGTTGAGTTCCCATAGTGCATTTCAGCACTACCGGCGTCGTCTGAAGTGCTATAAGTTGATGACCTCTTTCTTCTTTAGCAGGTTTTTTATTATGTTAAGGATCAGTGGTAGTCCATCGATTTCTCCCTCTCCTTCTGCTGTCCTCTATTAAGTTGCTTCCTAGCAGGTGTCTGAAAACCCAAGGCTCCTTTCTTAACCTCGGGTGTACATCAGTATCACTAAGGACCCCTTTAAAAACCACTGCTCATCCATCAACCCACACCTGTGAGTCAGAAGCTTTCAGAGTGGAATGCAGGCAAATGTATTTTGAATAATAAATCCCCCAGGGATTCTGATATACCCTCTTCGCTAAGGAGAACGGAATATTTATTAGACACCTACCTGGCACCAATTACTATACAACGCACCAATTATTCACCATCTCATTTAATCCTTAAGACAGTATATTTGAAGGAGGGAGTATGCTCTCCATTTTACAGAAGCAAAAACTGAGTCTCAGAAAGGCCAGTGGATTTCCCCAAGTCTGCCCAGCTAGTAAGAGACAGAGCTGGATTTCCTACCCAAGCAGGACCGGCGACGTAATTTATGAGACCCAGTACAAGATGAAAATGCAGGGCCCCTTGTTCAAAAAGTATTAACAATTTCGTGACGGTGACAACAGAGCATTAAACCAGCCATGGAGCCCTTCTGAACGCGAGGTGCTGTGTGACTGCACAGGCCACATGCCTACGAAGCCACCTGCACCCACGGCCAACTCCAACACCATTTGCTGGGCGCCTCTCCAGAATCCAGCACACTGCCTCCGGTAAAGCTTTGACTTCCTCTGGCCTCTTTCAGTTCCTCACAAGCCCTCTGCTGGGGTAAGCCACTGTGCATCTCATTCCCTCCGCCTGAAACGGTCCTTCACCTCCATAACGCCTCCTCATCCTTGAGATCACGGGTCCTAATTAGATTCAGCTTCTGACTCTCGGACGTCAGATTCTTGAGACGACTCTCATTATTTCTATAGGAGGTGATAGGGTAGAAAGCTTCTAACATAACTGATACAATCCCAAAGTTTCAAAACAGAAGGTGGAGAACAAAGGAGAGGAAGAAAAAGATATAACTGTATCCCTTTCTCTGTGGACTCAAGAAGAAAAGATGAGGTGAAATCCATTTGCTTGTCTGTATAGACTATGGATTAGTTAAATGACAATTATTAAACTGTAGCTTTATCTTTATTAATGAAATCAGAGCCTGAATGACCATTTTTGGGGGGTAATTCCAGACAAGGTTATTCTTCAGTGAAGGGCAGTAAGGATGAGATGTTGGAAAAGTCATCCTCACTCTATTTTTCTTCCCCTAGTCATGAAAAGAAAGGAATGGAAATTCAGTAGAGAATGTTACATGTATTATAGATCTGCTTAATAATATATGACAAGTGGATATGAGTAATGAGGCCTTTAAGAGACTCTGGTGACATCATCAGTCTAACTTCAGACCTGGTCTGAGACATGTGATGTTGAAAAGGCTACAGAGAACGGCGGGCTGCAGTGCCAACGTTTATCATCCTTAGTCATCAACGCTTACGTTCTGCTACATCTTAGAAGTTTGGACTTGTACTGTGTCAGTCTGGTAGACTCTTCCAGTTCAATGCACAATGGTTTTCTGAATGTAAAGCTACAAGAAAGCTGGAAAGGAGAGTGGAAAAACCTCATCAGCTGTATTGACCCATACCCTCCAGCGGCGTAATAGTTTCCCGAACCTAAACTTCGGTGCATGTAGTTGAATATGTTGGACCTTGCACAAGAATGCTTTGGAGTCAGAAAGATGTGGGTTGCAATCCAAGCTCAGTCTCTTACGTTGGCTAAATGACTCTAGGTCTGGTGCTTAGCCTCTCTGAGCCTCACCTGCCTCATCTGAAAAATGGGATAACAATGGCTACCTTGCAGGGTACTTGATAATGGAAGCAAAAAGGACCTAGGATTATGCTCATCATATAGAAGGTACTCGATATCTGCTGGCTCCTTTTCCAGTTTCCTACTAATCCCACCAACAAGAAATGGTATTAGTGGCTTTGGAGTCCAGAGGAGCCAATTTCAAATCTCAGTTCTGCCTTCAACTTGTGTGATTACAGGCAAGTTATGTAGCAGCTCTAAGGTTGAGTTTCCTCGTCTGTAAGATGGAGATAAAAATAGTACTTACCTTAGTTCATTCATTCATAAAATATTAACTGAATGCTTCCTATGTCCCAGGAACTATTCTAGCTTCTGGAAATTTAGTAGTGGACTAGACAAAGTCCCTGTCCTCATGGAGCTTACACTCGAGTAGGGCAGACAGGATCACATAAAGATAACGTGATGTAAAATATTTTGCACACTGCCTGATGCACAGTAAGTGTTTAATGAAGGTCAGCTTTATTATGGTTTTCACCAGTTCAGGGAAACATGAATTGTTTTCTTTTCAAAAGTTCGATGAAATATGTAGCATCAATGGACCTCAATACACAGAATCACAGAACTGGGAGGAGCTTAGAGTTGTTCTTGTCATAAAATCTCAGGATCTCAGACCTGGCAGAAAAATCAGGAATTTACATGGTCCAGTGTTATTCAAAATGAGGTTCTTTTCAGGGGAAGCACTGGGGAGGCCAAATCAGATTAACTTTTACCTGTTTTACATAGTGGGGTTCTCAGGGAATAAAAACTTACTATTTTTTGGAAAAACTATTAATCTAGTCTAACACTCACTTTATGCAGATCAAATGGAGAGAGAGAGAGAACTTTTCAATCACGTGATACTCTGCCCCACCTCCGAGTAATTCAATCAGCAATTACGTGTTGCACACTTCCTACTTGAGGGGCCCTGGGGATTCGAAGACATCTTTCCTTCATCCCTGACTTCTAGAAGCTTCCAAAGCTAGTTGAGGAGAAAAGGTGCCTGAGCTATTAATTGTAAACTCATGCAAAGGCTCCAAACTACATTCCAATGAGATGGGATGCTCTCCTGAGCCCTAGAACTACACGTCCATCTGCATTCAGGGTATTCCCAACTGGTAGGTCCCAGATTCCTCAAATTCAATGCATCCAAGCTCACTATCTGTGGATGGCAGCCTCTAAGATGGTCCCAATGATCCTCACCTCCTAGTATTCATGCCCTTGTTTAATCTCTTCCCTTTGAGTGTGGGTTGCACCTAGTGACTTATTTCTAACAAATAAAATAGGGCAGAAATGATGGGATGTAACTTCCAATATTAGGTGATAAAAAGACTGTGGCTTCCATCTTGGGATGTATTCTCTTACTCTCTTGCTGGCTCACTCTGAGTGAAGCCAACTGCCATGTTGTGAGCTGCCCCATGGAGGGGTCCAGGCGAGTGGGGAACTGATGTCTCCATCCAATAGCCACGGGGGACCTGAGGCCTATCAACAACCATGTGAGTGAGCTGGGAAGAGGAGCTACCCAAGCCAAGTCCTGAGATGACTGCAGTCTTGGCCAACATGTTGACTGCAGCCTTGTGAGAGACCTTGAACCAGAGGACATCAGCTAAGCCTAGATTCCTGATCCACAGAAACTGTGAGATAATAAATGTTTGTTAGTTCAAGCTGCTAGGTTTGGGGGTAGTTTGTTACTCAGCAATAGATAATTAATCCACCATCTTTCTCTAAAATCTACTTTGCCTCCCATATTCCTTATCCATCCAACCACCTAAGTCAAAAATTTCCCCTTCATCCTTTACATCTAGCTGCTCCCCAACTCCTGTACATTCCACCTCCTAAAGAGCTGTCTAGATCTGGTCCACTCTCACTGCTTCCAGTCTACAGCAGGGCTGCACCATCTTTTACCTGGGCTACTTTCATAGCTTCCCTCTCTCGAACTCTCCCCTCTGATTCATCTGGCACAAGGGGCTGCCAGAGTAATTTTTCTAAAATATAAATAGAAAAATAACATTCGTTCGCCTAAAATCTCTGCATAAAGAATGAAACCCAAGTTCTACAGCACGTCCTACAAATTCCTCTATGACCTGGCATCTGTCTCACGCTCCAGCTTTATTTCCGCCCACTCACTCCTGCACATCTTTGGCTCTAATTGTGCTGAACTATTAGAAGTTCTAGGAGGCTCTACTGCTCTTGGCTTGTGTACTCTTCTGCCTGGAAGACAACTCTACTTACCAAATATTTATTGAGCACCTACTAAATACTAGATACTGCTCTAAGCACTGGGAATAAAGCAGTGAACAAGACAAACGATGCTTTAGCATCCTACCCTCTTGGGGCTTATATTCTAGTGGAGAGAGAGGCCACAAGCAAGTTGATAATTAAAGCAAGGTAAGAACATAGAGTGTGATACTATGGTGGGTGGAGGGGCGGTTTTGGTGGATAGAATGTTCAGGAAAAGCCTTTCTAAGGCGGTGACATTGTCATCCCATTGTCTTCTGGCTTGCACAGTTTCTGATGAGAACTTTTTTGTTTATTCTTTGTTTCTCTGGACATAATGTGTCTTTTCTCTCTAGCTGCTTTTAAGATTTTCTTATGACTGGTTTTCCACAATTTGATTATGATTAGCTTTGATATGTGTGTGTCTGTGTATCCTCGTTAGAATTTCTTGAACTTCTTGGATTATGGAGTTTATAGCTTTTAACAAATTTGGAAATTTTGATCCATTTCCTCAAATATTTTTCTGTATCTTCTTTCTCTTCTGCTCAAGGAACTCCAATTACACATATGTTAGATCACCTAATATTTACCATAGGTCACTGAGGGTCTGTTCATTTATTTTTCTAGTCATCTTCTTCTCCTGTTTC